GTTCATGGCCCGAGGGAGGCGAAGTGTGAGGAAGTCACCAGGTAGCAGGTGAGCCGAGACTAAACCTTCTGATTCATGGGCTCGTCCCACGTTCTACACTTTGCACTGCCTAGGAAAGCCACAAAGAAAACAAACCCCCAGATATCTGTCTCCCCCAAACCAAACCCACCATCTAGTTCTAAAATCAAGTTGTAGCTATTTCTGAACCACCAAGTAGGGGCTGCCCCATCCCACCACTGAAGGAGTAAGACCTTCTCCCCAGGGAAACTCAGCTCTGGGAGGTGGAAGGAGCCCAGTCACACAGAGGGAAACAGCCCGCAGGCTCCTCCTTCCCAAGTGACAGAGCCTGGAAGAGTGCTTTTCTCCCTCCACAACACAACGGATTGCTGCTCCCCGGCTAGCCTCCAGCATCCGCTCCGTGCCAAGCTCTGGCTTCCATCCAGCCCCTCCTCGGGAGCCAAACCCCAGACTCTCTTGTCCTAGGAACTGGTCCAGAAGGGCTTTGGCAGTCGGCAAGGAGGAGCTTTATACCACGGCCTGGGGGGCCCGGCTGCCCAAGCTCTGGCTGCCTGGGTGGGTGGCCAGGACCCCTACTCTGCAGAGCCCTGCCCCAGCACTGCAAAAGAAGGACAAAGAAGGGAAATGACAGGTTAGTAGCAGCACTGAGGGGCTGTGGGGGGTGGGGGAGTGAGCGATGGCTTCCTCTGGCTGGTTCTTCCTTCTTCTGGGTGCGGAGGAGTTCGATGACACCAGTACCTGAGTGCCATGTGCTTTCTTCTTAAGTTCAGCCAAGGAGTTAGCTCCTGGGCTTCCGGAGCCACGCACCCTCTTCATGCCTGGGATTTTGCATTCTAGCAAAGCTGGCACTGGGATAGAATGCGAGGGGGTGCAGGCAACTTCTCTGTTCCCTTCCTTGGAGGGAACAGTGCCTGCGGTCTCTAGTGGTGGCCTCTCTTGTACCTTGGAGTTTCATTATTAGGATTGCCGGGAGGGGTTGGCCAGTTCTTTGGTTTCTATGTGGGAGATTTTCCTGGCCAGTTTCAAAAGGCAGGCAGGACTTGTGGGAGTCCGGCTCTTCCTGCAGCCCGTCGCTGTGTCCCTCAACCGTTGTAAGGCACCGTCGAGGACAAGGCGGCACTTTGATATGTTAACATTTCTCAAAATTGAAAACCCACGGACCCTGAAGACCTACAGACCCACTGCAAAAGTACATTCAGTTAAATTCTTGATCATTCGGCATGAATGGCACTGTAAGCACCAAGAGAAACATCCTCCAGCTATAAAGTCTCATCCCCACAAGATTCAGAAAGTACTTACACTGATGTTATTTGAGAAAAAAAAAGTTGCCAGAATGAAACAAAAATCCCAAACCCCCTTTAGAACTCATGGCCTCTTCCCTCTCCCCTGCTACCACGCCTTCTTTCCCCAAGCCCCTGCCAGAACTCTCGGGGACTCCTAGATGCCATTTTGAGGAATGGGTTGTAGAAGAGTCTTCCCCCTAACAACAAAAAAACCTCCCTCTAAGGAAAGAGCAGGAGGTGGGTCTGGTCTCTGGCCCCCATAGCATAGTCAGACTAAGTAAGGGAAACTGGCCACGCAATTTGGAGTTGGGAGGGCCTTGGGGACCCAGAGAACTCTGTTGTCAAAAGTCCCTGTCCATTACTGGACAGCTCCTGCTAATGCAGTGTTCTCACAGCCAAAGTTAGCTGACCTAGAATTTTCACTGATTGGTTTTGCTCTTGACACCTGAGACCCTACTGAATTAAAAAACAAAACAACCCCCAAATATGATGGGACAGGGGGCACGCAGGCCTGATTTGAGCTTTTTTTTTTTTTTAAGATTTTATTTATTTATTTGACAGAGAGAGACAGCGAGAGAGGGAACACAAGCAGGGGGAGTCGGAGAGGGAGAAGCAGGCTCCCCATGGAGGAGGGAGCCCGATGTAGGGCTCGATCCCAGAACCCTGGGATCATGACCTGAGCTGAAGGCAGACACTTAACCGACTGAGCCACTCAGGAGCCCTGAGCTCTTTCTCTCTCTTTTTTTAAAATATAAATGGATGTAAGAAGTTCATTGAGGAGCCAATGAATGTACTGATTTGCTTCTGAAGAATGTACAGATGGGGGAGGTGGGAGTTTGGAGGAGAAGCACAGATGGAGGAGTCTTTTCATTTTGATTTGTCGCTGAGCAGAGACCTGGAGGTGCCGAGGGTGTTGAAACTCACCAGATGCAAACCCAGGGAGGAAGGGCGACATGGACACACGGCAGGCACAGCCGGCAGGAAATGTGTTTCTGCAGGGCTCAGATGCTTGAGGAAGGACACACAACCAGGGATGGGGGATTTCAGCCCAAGTCTGAGGTCCTCCCAGGTGACAGACCTGGGTGCTCACAGATGGCTGAAGACCGAGGGATGTGTCCCGATGACGGAGGCAGACTGCTCCTGCCACCCCCACTCTTAATGAGTGTCATCTGTGCCCTTGCTTGCTGAGCCAGGCCCTGCTCTCTGAAGTGCACGCCGGGCCTGCTCGGTGGAGTGATTTTGTCCTGCGCTTCTCTTGAAATATGTGTTCTTTTTGGTGCCACCTGAAGGCAGATGTTCTAACTTCCTCATTATTGAAAATTTTGTAGAGTTCTGAGCACAAATGCACATCTACAGAGTCCTGTTTTGGAAAGCATCTAGCATCTGCTGGTCTCTGTCATATATATATATTTTTTTTTTTCAGCCAAAACAGCTTTTCAGGGCCACAGAGTGATGTGGGTAGAGTCCTTAGGATAAACCAATAATGCGATTCTTTTTTTGGTTCACTAGATTGTTATGTAAAGTGTTTGAAATTTGTAAGCTTTTTTCGCTGGCTGATGAACTCGATAATCACTTGAGTTTATATGCCAATGGTTATGTTTAAAATGTACACATGGGATTGACTTGGGCTATTTTTAGAGGCGTGTGGGTTACTTGGGCCCGGGTAGCCCACTCCCCCTGGCTACTGTTGATAAGCTTGAGATACACCCAACTGGCCACGTGCTAGAGAGCCCCTTGGCTACCTCAGTGGCGGGGCGGGGTCTAAGGCAGCAGAACAGATTTTGGTCTACACTCTGCTTTTGCACTCGCTGAGACGTGCTGGTGGAAGTGCTCGTCCTTTGATGAGAACAAGGAGGACCCAGTTACCTTAGGGACTCAACGAACTGTCAGAAACTGATGTGTGTGCTGGCCTGTGGAGTGGGGAGAACCTGGAGACCCCGCCTTCTTCCCTGTTTCTCAGATGGACAGAAGATAGTCCCACCCAGTCCTGGTGGATCTGAATTCTCCGGGTAGCTGCTTAGTGAAAAAAGGACCTGCTGCTTCTAGAACCATCTCTCAAACTAGGAAGGAGTCCTTAATCAGACGAGTACACCGAGGCAGGCATTGAGGACACCATGTGAAAAATCAGCTATTGCTGGGCTGCTTGCTGTCTAGTGGGCGAATGGGAAGGGAGGAGCCTGTCAGCTGCAGCTTCCATTGCCGGGACGACCTCCCCAGCCCACATGGGCACAGGGCATCAACATTCAGTCCTCAGGTCTGCGAGGGGGGGCTGGGGGCTGACTGATGTCCCTATTCCCTTCTGGACATCCTTCCTATGAACTAATTATTATTTTATTTTTTAAAATTTATCTATTTGAGAGAGAGTGGAAGTGAGCATGAGCTGGGGGGAGGAGCAGAGGGAGAAGCAGACCCCGCAGAGCAGGGAGCCCGACGCAGGGCTGGATCTCAGGACCCTGAGATCATGACCTGAGCTGAAGGCAGATGCTTACCCAACTGAGCCACCCTGGCACCCCTCCTATGAACTACTTTTGAGTGCTGGCAGCTGAAGAACTTAACTGATGGTTTGCACTTATGTTGACATGAGGCGGCATGGCCACTGGAGGCTCACAGGATGTCGCCTCACAGCCTTCCACAAACCGTCTTCTGAGGGGCTGAGCCAGGGGCTGAGCTAATGTGGTATTCTGACATTATCAGCAGGTACAAGAAGCGGAGTGGGATGGGAGGTGATGCAGGAAGTAAGTCTCCTGACGTGGTGTCCTGCAGACAACATGAGAAGGCAGACAATACCCTGTCCTGATGTTTGTGAAGAGCTGATAAAAATATGTCAGAAGCCACAGCGTGAAAACGATGCTGGGAGCCGGTCAGAGAAGGTGGCCACATGTCCGTGAGCGAGCTGGCCCTGCCCCCCTTCTCGCTCCCTCCCCTCCCGGGGTCTGAGTGTCCTGCTCGGCATTGTCTGCCTTTTAATCCCATTGTTCCTAACACTGTATCTAACTCCAAGGCATCTTATTTATTTTGAAATCACAACTCCAAAGCCTCTTGTTCGAAGGGTAGTTTCAATTTATTGATGAGCCAAAGAAACTAGCACAATGGGACTGTGAAAGGCCAGGAGAGAGGGATAGGGGGTCGTTCTGCCCGCTCTCCCGTGCTTCCAGGGTGTGCCCTCCGCACCTCAGGGGTGGCGCCCCTCGGAGGGGGAGGCCGGGCCTGCAGGGGGCACGGTTCTCTGCCCCTGTGTCAGGCGTGGGAAACTCTCCACACCCCCACCCCGCTGGCAGGACTCCCTCTGCGGCATCATCAACCAGCGCCGAGGACCTAAAAACACAGCCCTCGGAGAAGAGTTTTCCAGTCTGCAGCTATGCTTTTTCATACCTTTGTATTCATTTGTGCCTGGAACAGCACATCTGGAGACAGACTGTAGACCTGGGCCACTAGATACTGTTATTCTTTTCTTCTCTGCTGCATAGTAGTCTAGATCCAGGTGGGTCCCTCTCACACTCCACAGAGAAAATAATAAGAGCTTACGTTAGAGTTTTCAAAAGCGTGAACGTACGTTGCCTCATTTGAACCTGCGAGTAGCCCTGGGACGGAGGCAGGCGAGCGTCGTGGTCCTGGGATCCCGAGGATGGCTGGACTGGTGAAGCCGGGAGCCAGATCCATGTCCTCCATCTCCTGGTCCAGGGCTCCTTCCACTCCACAAGATGAAGCGAGCTCACCTTGATGAGCACAGCAGCCTTCCGCTGAGAAGGGATGATGTGTCCTTCGGGCTGGAGGACCAAGGTGACTGGAGGTACAGAGCTTGTCAGTGGGCTCAAGGGAGAAACACACCTGAGTGAAATCTGGCATCAACAGCAGACGGGTAACTAGGGCAAGACATGGGCATCTTGGACGAGGGTTTCCTGTTTTCTGGATTCTAACCTGGACCACACCGGGTGCTGTAGCTGGAACTCAGCAAAGTCCAGGAAGAGAGAAGGCATTCAGAGGACTTTCTCATCTAGCAATTTATTGATTCCTTCACACATTCTCTTGAGGTTGGGCCGGCAGTCTCCATCCAGACTATACAGGGTGGACAGGAACTCCACATCAGCAAAGTGGTTGAAGACGTGGTTGATGCGCCCATGGGTCCGGGGCGTCAGGTGTCGCTGTACCAGTTCGTGCACCAGGTCCTTGCACTCGTGCAGGAGCTTGGAGAGCACGTTCCTGTCGAAGGTGTATTCCACCTCACAGAAGCTGACGATGGTCATGGCCGTCTGGTTCAGCTTCTTCCTGAGCTTCTCCACTATGACCAGCTCGTCCTGGCTGAACTGGTTGTGCCGGTAGAGTATTCCGATTTTGATTGCCACCTTGATCAAGTCTTTCATGATCTTGTGGGCTTCCTTCTTGTTGTGGGTGTGCTCTCTGGTGACTTTGTAGAGCTCATCGAAGATCTCACTGCTGGTGTCATCAATCAACATGTTCGCCATGGTTTTGCTGGCGATCTTGCTCAGGATCTTCTTCTGGGCTTGAAGGGCAAGGCTCTTTGAACTAAAAACGTCGGGACCTATCATGAGGAAAGAGAGAAAAGTTATAGAAATATGAGAACCATTTATTATGTTTCTCCAAGGGAAACACACTAATTTGAACTTAGGTTCCTAGAGCAAAAACTCATGCCTTTAGATCCCACCGCTCCCTCACCGAACTCCACCAAAGCCTGGGATTGCTCCACTGTCCTCTCCACGTACCATGCTTGTTTGCCCTCTTGAATCTTCTCAATCGCCCTCTTCCCTCTCTGGAAGGGGTCTCCTCTTTTCCGGGCCAAATCTCACCTTTCCAGACCTAGTTCATGCACAATGCCTTCCTGACCCTATTAGCTCACAGAGAACCCCACCATTCGGTTGTGCAAATTACTGCTTAACAACAAGCATGTGGTACCAACACCAGCGCCATCTGCAGGGCGGACATACCCAGGCTGATCACGGCGGTCTTTTTGACTGAGTCTCAGAATCCATATTTTGACTCTCAGGGGTCTTCTTTTTCGCGTTTCATATCTTGGAAATTGGTTATGTGTCTTACTGTCCCTGTTCCCAGGGGGCACTTGTGCTGTGGTTGTTGTCTTTATCTATATGCAAGCAATTTGCACAACAGGAGCCGGAGATTTGGGAGAAAAGTCAAGGGCACTCGGAGAAATATTGCCTCACCAACGCCCTCAGTTGGCATAGAGAACAGAAGGGCACCGTGTGCGAAACACACAGACAACTCCAAGTCAAAGATGCTTCAGACGAGTAGTGCCCTGAACGTGAAGCAGCTTAGAACCAAAGTCAATTGATGTCTCTTCTTTTCCACTTTATGAATGAACAAGAGTAATAGATGTTAAAAAAACCCCCCACTATGTCTAAGTAAGTCCAAAAGGATCCTTCAATAAGTATAAAATTTCTAAGTAAAAAGAAAGCAGTCGCTCACAGTTTAATTGGTAGCACATTTTTCTTTCTTAAGAACACATAAAAGAGCCTCTTACAATTGATGGTGTCTTAGATTTGATGAACTACTCCATGAAGTCACCAGTTAGCTAGAGCTGACATCAGAAACCCACTGGCCATCTCTCTACGGTAGATACACGTATTATTACTCTTCCAGAGGAGAGTCAGGTTGCCCGAGGACGGAGACAGTGTCTCCCACAGCACCCAGCTCCGTTCTGGGCACAGGGATGAAATGGTGTCTTCTAGGTAAAATACCAGAGAAACAGTGCAGAAGAAGAAGGTAGTAAAATACAGTGCAAATTTATATTAAAAAGTAGTTTTCCTTTGAGAACTGAAGACCCTTCTAGGATCCACAGAGACTGTATCCAGTGCTCTGTGGCCACAGGGAAGTGACAGATAGGACAGGCAGAGTGGACATATGGCCATACATGCCGGGTTCTGCAAGCCTCACCTGGCCACCCCACCTCATGTTCCACGTGCTCTGCCCACCCTGGACTCATTCGCTCGGTGGACAGTGATTAACACCCGGATGCTCAGGTCTCACGGACAGACTCAATAAACACTCCCACACAACTTAAACAAGGCTCATATGTACTCCCTCCACCCACCTGCCCCCTCACAACGGGCCCCGCCTTGCTCCCTCAGCCCTGGGCCCTTCCAGGACAGTGTCTTCTGCTCTCAGGCTTCTAGCTGCTTCTCAGGCTGCCAGCTCCAAGGGGCACAGGCTGGAGTGGGGTTGGTGTGGCAGGGTCAGCGGCAGTAAGGCAGTCGGGGCCATGGGCACCCTAGAGCCCAGGGAGCGCTCTCTCTCTCAAGTCTGAAACCATAGAATGTTGAAGCAACTTCACAGTCAAGTGACCCTGACATGGGCAGGATGTTCCCTTCAGTCGAGGTGCAAAGGAAACCAACAGCATGTCCTGACTCTTCTTTACCATGAGAAAGCCCAGACCTCCTGATTTATGCCCTCCAGAGTTTGTAGCAAAAAATACTTCTGCCCAGTCTGACCATCTGCTACGGTCACCAGATCTTTGTGTGAATGACCTTTGTTCCCCAAACATCAAATTCGTATTCCATGGCACCTGGGTGGCTCAGTCGGTTAAGTGTCTGCCTTCGGCTCAGGTCATGATCCCAAGGTCCTGGGATCGAGCCCCGCATCGGGCTCCTTGCTCCTTGGGGAGCCTGCTTCTCCCTCTGCCTCTGCCTCTCTCTCTCATGAATAAATAAAATCTTAAAAAAAATTCATATTCCAAAGACAAATATTTACAAGTATTGAGGATGCTCAGAAGACTGTGCTGTATGCTTTAAAAAAAAAAGAAGAAGAAGTCAATCCCACAGAAGAAGCTTCAAGACTTAAATAGTGGCCCTGCACTAAAATAGGTGTATGCCTACTCAGGTTATTATTCTGATGGGAACAATGGAATCTAGATGGATCTTTTCTAGAATATATATATATATATATATATAAATGAGTCATTTCTTTGTAGATACAGCTCCTAAAAGCTGCCTGAGAACGAGGTGCATTAAGAGGCTCTCTAGAAATGCAGGAAGCACAGGGTGACACAGAAGCGGCAGATCAAATGCATAGATGGCCACGAGAATGTACGCTCTGTGAGAGCCAGGACCTGTGTCTAAGCCCTACCGTGTGCCCGGTGCTTCACGCACTGGTGGCCCAGGGCAGGTGCTGGGGGAGGAAGGGAGTGCGGGCTGGCACTGCACCAGGTGTTTCTTGGTTCTCACTGGTGGCTGAAGCTGCCATTTTTATCAAGGCTTCCTTCCTAGTCTTTTCCCCTCCAGCAATCCCAACATTCTTCTCTGGACCAGTAGCTGTCACACCTTTTGCTCATATATTCCCATAAGAATTTTGAAAAACTACGCACCTCCTTGCACCCTTAACTTGATGGCAAGTATTTTTCACCTTAAGGTTAAACAGTTATAATTTGTTAATAGATATAATTTCTACATATTATAAAGTGAGTATTTAAAAATTAGCCTGTTAAATCATTCTTTTAAATATGTCCAGTATAACATAGCACTAGAGTGATATAACACAAGCTCTTCTTTAAAAATTAGAAATGTTAGAGATGCCTGGGTGGCTCAGTGGGTTAAGCATCTGCCTTCGGCTCAGGTCATGATCCCAGGGTCCTGGGATCGAGCCCCACATCGGGCTCCCTGCTCAGCAGGGAACCTGCTTCTCCCTCTCCCTCTGCCTGCCGCTCCCCCTGCTTGTACTCATTTTCTCTCTCTGTCAAATAAATAAAATCTTTAAAAAAATTAGAACTGTTACATTGTTCTTTTGCCTCCCTTGAAATTGTATCTCTATTCCATGACACCCAGAGAATTTTAACTTAATATATTTTTATGCTTGAAAATGTTTTATTTGATCAATTCATCATAATTCTCTACAGCCAAAGGATGCATACAAATTGAAATTTAAATTAAAAGACGATTCCAATGATCATAAATCTCCAAGCCTTAAAACATTTCTTCTAGAGTGAGTTATTTTGGGGTACAATATAAAATATTAAAATGTTGACAAACACTAAACATAAAAAATAAATTTTTATTGGAGATGCACCTCCAAATCAGATGTGTAGGGGTGGGTTATGGTGTCTTGATTCAAAGAGGCACCACGAACACCAAAGCGCCACGTCTTCCCTGTGTCTGAGCAGGAAGGTTCTGCACCCCAGGGTGATATATTTGTCCCCATAAGAGTCTTCATGGGTGAGAACTCTGACTAAAAACAGTGGAAAGGAGAGAGGTCCACCATGCTTTGACCTCAGACTGTTTCTCAGGCAGGGAAGTGTGAAAAGAGTAAGTATTGAGGTGAGAAAGAGGAGTTGGATCTATAAATCAATTCCCTCATAATCGTCCTCATCTGCACATCACATGGGAGGTCTCTGGACTCTGGGCAGTGCGAACACTACATGGAATTCTCCTCTTCGGTGAGAGCAGTAGAGTTCCAAGAGGTGATAAGTAGTACTCTTTGGGGGTAAAGAGATTCTTGACCAAATAAGTTTGGAAAATACTGGGTTAAGCAATTAGACAGATTTCTTTTCCTGTGAGACTTTAAAACACTCCTTTAATACATTAAGGTGTTTTATCAACTCTCTGAGAGGGCTGGGTGTGGTAGGCAGAATGCCCCCCCCACAAGATGTCCGTGTCTTAGTCTCTGGAACCTGTGTGTGTGACCCAGCAAAAGAGACTTTGCAGATGGGACTGAGTGTAAGGATTTGGGGATGGAGAAATTACCCTGGATCATCCAGTGAGCCTGATACAATCACAGGGGTCTTTCAAAGTGAAGGAGGGAGGCAGGAGAGAGTGGGCCGGAGGGGTCCATGATGGTGGAAGTAAAGGGTCAGAGTGATGTGATTGCTGGCGTTGGAGATGGAGGAGGGAGCCACCAGCCAAGGAATGTGGCTCACTTCTAGAAGCTGGAAAAGGGAAGGAAACACAACCTCCCCCAGGGCCTCCAGGAAGAATGCAGCCCTGAGGATAACACTGATTTTTAGCCCTATAAAACCCACTTAGGATTTCTGATCTCTAGAGTTGTAAGAGGATACATCTGTGTTGTTGGAAGCCACTAAGTCTGTGGTAATCTGCTTTGTAATAGCAGCAATAATTCACGTGGATAGACGTGATGTAGCATTTCCCAAGTTTATCTGGTCAGGGAATTCTTTTTGTCTTTTGAGTAGAGTGACCAACTGCCCTGGTTTGCCAGGATTGAGGGGTTTCCCATGTAGCTGACTTTCAGTGCTGGAACTAGGTAAGTGGCAGGCACGTTGGGACAAGTGGGTCACCCTAATCCGAAGCCACCAGTGAGGCATATATCACTGAGTTAAACATTGAAGAACAGAGAAGTAATAAAAATTTCAGAGGATGGCAGAAAATCATACATACCTGCCATTCAAGACGCTATCATCTCAGCAGGTAAGTTGTACACTCATGTTACCACATTTACCGATTTACCGCCCCTCTCTACTTGCTTTTTATTTCTGTAATTAAACTTAACCCTTTTTTGCTCATTTTGGGCAAAGTCCCTTTTGTCCTTTGGTTGCTCTGTAGTTATTGAACACTTCCTATTAGT